GATCTCCCACAATCTTTCAATGGTTTTATCTGACGGTGTCATCTTCATGATGGTAACTTGAGGCCATTTAGTATGTGCGCTAACCATAACGAAAATCATGTGCCCTTCAAAAGGTCCAGTGTAGTCAATATGGATTCTTTGCCATGGACTTTCTGGTTGTTCCCATGAGGGTAACGGCACTAACAGAAGTGGGTTGCAAACACTTGCGCAAGCTGCATACATTTCCATTGTCATCTAAATTTCATAGTTGAGCCCTGGCCACCAAAAATAGCTTCTGGCTATCTCCTTCATTCTGACAATGCCACGGTGACCTTCATGTAGTTGACTTAACACGTTTCCTCAGCTGTGTCTAAAGTAACACAGGGAATGAAGATTTATAGGCATAAGAGAGGAAGATGTAAGTAATGGCCAAGAGTTTTACTTCCTATAACCTACAGGTTAGAATTAATTGCACAAGAAACTTGAATAATTTTTCTACTCAGCTTTTGTTTAGAAATAATTTAACACAGGGCAGCTCACTCCCATGTGTTATACGGCCTGCAGTTATGTTGCAAGTCTTAGACATTCCTGGCAGTCTGGATGACCACTGTTGCAGGATGCAGCACTGGTCTGACCAGTTTCAGCTCTGCGTTTTGGAGTATGAGCACCAGATGTAGGCACTGGAGTGCATCCTCAAGGCTGACTGTCACAAGGATAGCATGTTCATGGATTTGGTCACCCTGCAGCTTGAGTGGAGTGGAGTCAGGGAAGGAATGAGTGACCACCACTCAGAAGGAGGGAAGTAGGCAGGTAGACAGGAAAATCCCAGTGTGGTCATTTCATTCAAGAATAGTTCTTCTTTGTTGGAAATCAGTGAGGCCAGTGGTTGCTTGTGCTGATGGGTTGGGGGTAGGGTGGTGTTGGAACTCGCAAGCTGCTTAAGGACAGGAGACAAAAATGGAAAGGCTATAGTGGCAAGAGACTCAGTAGCAAGGGATACAAATACTGCTTTTGCAGCCACAGGCATGACTTCAGAATGGTGCTTTGTTGCCCTGGAACCATGGTCAAAGATGCCAACAAATATCTACAAGGCATTCTGAAGGAATAGGACAAACTCTGGTTCTAGTATGAACCACAACCTTTATGACAAACAGAAAGAGGGATGAGGTCCTTCAACATGAATTTAGGAAGCTAAGTAACAGACTGAAAAGCAAGACCTCAAAAGTTGTAATCTGCCAGTGCAACACACTAGTGAGTATTGTAATAGGTGGTTAGAACAAATGAATACTTGGCTGAAGAGTTGGTGCAGGAGGGAGGGCTTTAGATTCCTGGATCATTGGATCAGTTTCTGGGAAAGTGGGACCTGTGCAAGTCTGACGGGTTGCACTTGAACTGAAATGAAACCAACATCCTTGGGAAGAGACACGGTAAAGGTTTGCTATTGTGGTTGGTGGGGATTTAAACTAAGTTGGCAGGGGCTGGTGCACAGTCAAATGTAGAAGAAAAAAACAAATCAATCTGGAAGACTGTGTGTATAATGAAGAAACAGCACAGGAGTACAACAAGCCTGTGTAAGATTTATGTTAATACAAGATGTCATGTCAGTAAGGCAGATGAGTTGAGGGTGTTGATTAACACACAGGGATATGTCATCATTGTTGTCATGGAGACATGGTTGAAGGAGGGCGGGACTAGCAGCTCAATATTGAGGGTATAGAATCTTTATGCAACACAGGCAAGGGGTTTCTAAAAGAGGTGGTGTCACAATAGCGATCAAGGAGTTAATCACTCCAACAAGGAGGGATGACAGCTTAGAGGATTCCTCAACTGAGACCATAAAAGTAGAGTTAAAAATTTTAAAACGGGGCAATCATATTGTTTGGAGTATACAATAGACCCTCAAACAGTCAAGGATAGATGGAAGGGGCAGAAATGTAGGCAGATTTCAGAGAAGTCTAAAAATAGTGCGGGATTTCAACTTCTCCAGTATTTGTTGAGATAGACAAAGTGTGAAAGGCTTAGAGGAAACAAAATTCTCAAAATCTATCCACAAGAGCTTTTTAAGACAGTAGACATTCCAACAAAAGAAGGGCGGCAATTCCAACAAGAGAAGGGCGGCTGCTGGACCTCAATTTAAACAACAAAGCTGGAGAAGCAGCTGAAGTTTCAGCGCGGAAGCATCTCAATGAGAGAGATCATAACTCAGATTTAAGGTAATCTTGGACAAGGGCAAGGAATGTCTTGAAATAAAGGTATCGAACTGGGGAAAATCAGCCTTAATATAAGACAGGACCTGGCAAAGTGGTCTGGAGCAGCTATATGTAGGAAAATCTACATTAGAGCAAAGGGAGTTTTGCAAAACAAAATGTGAGGAGCAAGACTGACATGTTTCTATAACATGAAGGATGAGATAAATAAATCCAGAGAACAGTGGATGTCAAGCAATGTTTAGGATTGGATATGGAAAAAAATGGGAAGCTTATGGTACCAGGTGCTCAAAAGACTGGAAGCAAATTAGCAATCGCAGGGGTTACTTAGAAAAGAAATGAGGAAAATGAAGATGGGGCATGAATAACATAGGCATGTAAAGAAAGGGAAATCTAAAGGCACTTCAAATATATTGGGGAAAGAGTGGGGCCCAAAGTGGCAGCGTTCTGTGTGGATTAGAAATACATAGAAATACCGAATTAAACCGATTTTAAATGAGTCCAAAATTTGTGTCTCAAGAAACTACCTGTATGAACAAAGAATAACCTTTATTTGCCATCACAATCTGTAGGAACCTCTTCAGAAAGCATGGCATAAAACTACATGAGTTCTGTCAGTCAGCCTACTCTGCATTAGCAGCAACCAGTTTCCTTTTGCCCACTTCAGCTGTTCAGCTAGCTTTCCCAAAGAATTAAAAAGTGCATAGACATCTCTTTCAACAAACTTCAGGAGAGCTTGCATAAATTTAAATAGCTTTCCACTGGGTCTTGGATTGGATACAAATCATTCCAAGGAAAGTTCATCGGAGTCCGGAGCATCCACATTTTTAAAAAAAAAAGTACCAGTTCAAGCCAGTATTCCTTTTCTTATTCTCTCTCTCTGGTTCTTACCACTCACATGACATGCATTTTCTTTTTCTTCTCTCTCAATTCAAATTCTCTCATTTCCAATGCCCTTTCCTGTTTTTTTAAAATTTTCTATTTCAAGGTTCTTCATCTGCAATTGAATTCTAGCTGATTAAACCGAATTATCAGACTACCACTTCTTCTAAATTTATGTTGCGCCATTACATCAATTTCATCTGCTTTCTTAGCCTTTACTTTTAATTCTAGTGCCAATTTTGCTGCCAACGCTATTAAGTCTAACCTTGGTTAATTTTTGGAAATCTCTCAGAGGTAGCTCATCCATCTCAAGAAAAGTTGCAGCAGTTGAGCACTATTTTGATTTCGTAAGCTTCCCCAAATGCACAAGAAACCTGGCATAGTTCCTTTTATGTCCTTTTCTATTATCATGACCCCACTTCCAATTTCATGTTATCACTGGGTTTGGACGAATGTATGGTCTCTCTCTATTCTCACTATGCCATTGGTCACAACATATATTTAAATGTTGTAACATTTACTGAAATGGTGAAAGATATAGTTTATATTAAGCTCAGAATAAAAAAAAGACATTAACCAAGTTTCTCTGATAAACAACAAAACTATTGACTCATTAAATACGTATTATTCAAGAAAGGTGAGAAGCCTATAATCACAGCCAGGATAAACATTTATTATTCTAAATAACAGACACACACACATTCCAAGGAAAATGAAAAATAAACATTCTCTACAGAAATTAAACTTTGTTCAAATACCTGTTAATTTTTAGAGAATAAAGAGAATAAGATTCAGAATGTTCCAGGTGGCTTTTCGGTTAGGTCTCGGAGTACACACAGGTTACCAGATACATACGGTTGTCACTGGGATTACTTCAGAGGTACTTCATTCAGATGTCGACAAGAAGTTTTTGAAAAGTGTCTCAAGGAGGATAGCTGTTTCAGGTTTTGTTCTCACATGGGATTGTCAAGAGTTTCTAAGGAAGGTGGCAAAGACTAAGCTGGGTGTCTTACACCGTTATAAGCTGTACCCCAGGTGAAGTCCACAACTCCTGACACCCATAAACTCAAACATGTGACTTCTAATAGGATTAAGCTTTTAACTGACGGTATGTGACTTTCAGCAAACAAATAAAGCAGTTAGGTCAAACCATGTGACTTCCAGTAAATATCTCATAAAAAAAAGTGTCCCTTCTTTTAAAAAGGGCTGCTTCAGCTAATTCCTCAACACTTCAAATAAACCAATGTTCACAACCCTTTACACATGTCTTCAAAAAAATATCAATAATGTAAGTTCCTTCTGAACAACAATTCAAGTAGACAGCTTTCACTACTGCAGTACTACCAACAAAACCACTCATATTCAATCAAAAATGGGATTTGAAGGCTGTAACTTAGCTTTAAGATTCTGATGTCTGTACATTCTTCCCATTTGATGGCAGCCATAATGTGGAGGTGCCGGTGTTGGACTGGAATGGATAAAGTCAGCAGTCAAACAGTACCAGGTTACAGTCCAACAGGTTTGTTTGAAATTACAAGCTTTCGGAGCATTGCTCCTTCATCACGTGCTCCTGATGAAGGAGCAGCGCTCCAAAAGCTTGTGGTTTCAAACAAACCTGCTGGACTATAACCTGGTGTCATGCGACTTCTGACTCTTTCCATTTGATTCCCAGTGGGGAATTATATTCTTGTGTAACCCTGTGCAAACACTAATATTGTGCAACAGCAAATGCTGATTTGAGTTACACAAAGCTCCACTTTTAGACATATCCAAGAATTCAGTCTTGGAACACACTGCCCTGACAAAAAATTCCTAATTGCCTAATATTCAACCAACCAAGACTAATCTTGCTCCCTTTGTTTCCACCCACCCCCTCCCTTTTTGATGCTTAACCCACACACAGCCTGGCAAGGTCCCAGTTGCTACACTGACCTGGAAGTTGGGCTTGCCAGCGGGAACATGCAGCGTTCCCCGGACCAGCGGGGGTGGGGTGGCCATGGCAGTGCCTGTCGAGACAGCAGGCTGGGAAGAGAATAGTGAAAAGAAGCACAAATACACATGAGAAAGCCGAGGAACAAAAGGGCACAAAGCAAACATATATTGCCCATTTGAAGAGATATTCTGTTGTAAAAACCCAGATTAATCAGACTGACAAATAAACAATTAAGGTCAACTGCTCATTTCAAAATCAGCAAACTGCTTTCAATATAAATATGGATTGTACCATTCCTTGCAACTTTATAGCTCCTCAGTGCAGTTTACCCCGTAGTATCAACTGGCTCTAGAGGACCATGTATACTACAGTGTGGTCTTGATACAATCTCTGGTTCCAACTGTAAAACAGTTTACAGCATTCAGCAGAGTACCACTCAAGACTGTACATAAAGAATTGTGATCTTCAATTAATGAGTTCCTCCAGTTGGAATTCAAGGCTTCTATTAGTTTAATCATTTGATAGCTAACTAAAGGCCCTGGAGAAGACTCGGGGATGACCAGGTGCCCAATAAGCAAGAAATCCCTGCTTTGCCTGGTTCGGGTGGTCAACTCACTGGGTTCAAACATTCAATGGGCAATGGTCACTTAGCTCTGACTCCTAGATATCAGTCTGAGCATGAATGGTGACCCGTGAAAAATCCTCCTCTTGTCCAGATAAATCTTTCTTTCAAACTTAAAAAAAAATCAACCTAAAGAATATGTGAAGTTCGTGACTTCAAACTGATGGATGACTCACACCTAAGAGATAGATAAAGGTTAGTAAAAGCTGTACTTCAACCTTACCCCACCGACTAGATGGACAATTCTTGTCCACTAGCTGCACCAACTACACTAGTGATACTGATTCTGAGTAGTGAATTAAACAGTTAAAAAGGAAAACTTGCGATCAGTTTGCAGGGGCAGGAATTTCCCAAATATTTTTTCAAAAATCATGCTGCTCTTGAGTTATCAGGAAAGCGCCACAGCCCTCCTCACTGAGGTGCTGGGTAAATGCCTCCTTAACGACACCATTAAAACATCCCAGCTTATCTAAATCACTTTAAACCTCACTGGGAATGCAGAAAGCAGAAGGATTCAGCTCATTCAATCAAAATTGGACAGATGGCATTTTGTTAAGATGATTTTCTTGAAGTTTTAGCAAAAGATGAAATATTCAAATTATATTGTTTGCACTATCCACATTTAACCTTTATAATTTAGTCTATACAACAGGAATTGATAAATTTTATGGTTTTAGAACAAGATATCTCTTCAAAGATTTCATATGCAGCCTAAGCAAGTCATGGTAAGGTTCATAATAGCTAGCATAGAGAAAGAGAATCAAGTTGAGCGATTTACCATTTGAACAGAGTGCCCTCTGGGCTTTTACAATCGGTGCTCCACAATGTAACATGCAAGAAGTTTGAGCCTCCTGTAAGATTTTGAAGCAATGAATTTCCCATTTCCCTACCTTTTCTCTCCATTGGTCTTCTGAAGATTCTGAGCCTTGATGGGGTACCAGTTATAAGGGTGAGAAGCATGCAACAGCCATTCTGAGAGAGAGAGCCTGGACAGCCAGAATTGCTACGTTATACAGCATTAAAACGGAGCCCAATCTGCCCTCATTTATTTCTTAGCCTGGTTGGGGTGGGAGGGAGGTGGTGTGATGAGTGCAGCCATCAGGTGTAGGAGCCTTGATTGACCATCAAGATGTAATGTGGGAGGCACCCAAACTATTTTGCAGGATCACCCCTTTATCTCCATCAACGCCACTCCAGATAAGATCAGCTCGTTGAACTGAGGCCAGAAACTTATTACAGGACATTCACGTCTGTACAGGCTGCCATAACTCTTAACAACAGCTAGGAAGTGGCTACATTTATATTTCAAAGGCACTGATTTATGATCAGATTTTTGCTAGGCAAAAGCATTAAGTATTTTGAGATCAAGGTGAGCAGAACCTCGAGGGGCTGAATGGCATGCTCCCTCCTCCTGTGTTCCCACACTGCAGTAGCATACATAGTACTGATCCATATGGTATAAAGCAGCTACAATATCAGGTTGTAGCTGCTAGGGGGCAGCTCGTCACCAGGATCAAATCTAATCTTTGGTGGAACAGTCCAACCCCAAACTTGATCTTGGAGAGATTATCCAAGAAGCAAGCTCCATAGAAATTTCTGCAAGTGCTTCTCCTCAAAATAAGAAGGAAGGTTCTTCTGTGGTACATTGATATATTATGAGGTTGTAGTAAGATGTTAGAATTTTAACAAAAGAATCCGGAATCTGGAAACACATCCCAAATCTATAGTCTGCAATGAGGCAGGATTGAAGAATCATATTATTGCTTCCATTAACAGGCCACGCTTGTCCCTTCAGGACCCTATTTTAGGATGGCCGATTAAACAGAGTTTCCAGAATTCATCACATCACACAGGCTGTGATTATAGAAGACAATTTATTTGTCTTTAACATGTGGAATGTTTTTAGGTGGAATGAATGTGAAATAACTTTTTACTTTCTCTTTGTGGCTTCAAACTTTGCACAGACAAGAAGTGCTTCTAGATATTCAACCAAGGATGGCATCATATTCTAATCTTATTAAATCCTGTCCCTAATTTATAGTTCACTCATATTTTCCATCAGAAATCATTGGATAGTAATCAAGTGGACTCAGGCTGGGGTGGCAGGAAGAGTACATGGCTAATTTTCCAATGTCTGGTCTGCTATTCCAACATAAAGCACTCAGGGAGTACCGAGGCTCACTGCAGCGATCTTACTGAGATCTGTTCATTTTTGGGGCATTCTAAAGTCAAGCATGACATTACAGTTAATAACCAATTGCATTTCAAGTTAAGCACAAGCAAAAATCAGGAGGACACAGCATAGAGATCTTGATTTAACAAACCAAGACTGAAATTACAGATGAAATAGAAATCGGCCAGCCCCCAACGTTGTTTTTAATCTAGTCTAAAACCTAAAGGAACTGGGTTTATGTGTGATCATAGTTTTAAATTCAGCATCACAATATTCATTGAACAATGAACAAATTAAACAAATCCACTTAACAACTCACTGAGGCTTTCCAAAGGGAAAGGGAATTGGATCATTCTCTGAAAAGATTTACTTGGCTGTGGGGAAGGACAGGTGAATGGAATTGATGAATTGCCCTTTCAGAAGGCCAGCACAGACATAAGGAGCTAAAGTGTCCTTCTATGCTGTAAACACTCTGATTCTACAAGCAACCTGTATCAAATTGCATTCGTAGAATATACAGCACAGGCGGCCACTTGGACCAAATCTTTGTTTGCTTTGGTGTCTGTGCTCCACATGGGTCATCTACTACTCTATCTGCCTTTCTCTTCCCCTCTCTTTACTCTACTTGTCCAGTTTTCTTCTGAAAGAACTTAAGCTACTTGCTAAACAGCGAACTCTGTTTGTGGAAGCCATGTACAGATACTCCAAGTACTTTAAGCCATTCCATGTGGCTGGGTTTTAATATTTTTCTTGGCTCGTGCTGTATCAATAAAACATTTCCATTGCATTCAGTGAAAGCATTTAAAAACACGGCATTGATGGGAAGACAGGAGAGATTGAAGACAACAGAATTGATACCTTCGGGATGGTAGCTTCCTTTTGGATTTGGCTCTGTCGAAGTTTCTTGAGTAGGACAAGCTTGGCTTCCTCCAGCCGCAGCTCTTCCTTTAACTGCTTAATCATTCTCTCTCGCTCCTCTGGCGTGCTCTTCTGAAAAGAAAAGGTCCAGTATTACTTAAATAAAAGTAACTTGTCAATTCTCTTCCATCTCCTCCCACCTCTGTCCACCCTTGTAAAGACAAATACAGTTCCATAGGCATTGGTCAACTTGCCAAAGCAGCCGAAGGGCAAGCTGAATTGGTCCTTTATTTTTGCACACTTCCACTTTGGTTCCTTGCAGCATGCAACACTCCAAGCTAGAAAATCTAGAAATGGCAACCTTCTCAGATTATGCCAGTGTTTGACCTCTGATCAATAGCTGCTCACAGTAGCACTGCTGAAATAGGATAACACCTTACTCTTACCCTTACACTTAACTGGCTTCATCATATTGAAATATGTTTTCACAGGCACCAGGCAACCGTTAGGAGCTTTCCATTTGCATCAATCTTCTAGACCAGATTCACCAGGCTATCTGCCCACTGGGGAATCAATGGTGCCTGCTTCCATCTGCATCCAATGTCTACTCAATAATGTGTGTTCCAGCACTGGGCATTTGATGACAAGGGTTGAACCCCATGTCTAATCCAGAGCATCAACATGAACCACAACAACTTGACCCTGAGTAGCCCAGTACAAATCAGAAACTGAATGCTCAGCAATCCCAGTGTTCAGCATCCATTGCATAAACCATGATTTGATTTGCTTTTGAGAAATCCTGAAAAGAACGGTCTCTCATTTAAACGAAATATAAATTTTACTGAAGAATGTCAAAAAAAAGGAAATGACAGAAGCAGGAACAAGGAGGTTAAAAAAATGACTTGATTCAGTTTCTAAAAGTGAATGATAAAATGCAAATGGCTAAGCTGTAAAGTGCTAACAATTCCAATAAGTGTTTTCTTTGAACCAGGGCTTTCAAGCAGGGAATGTATTTGGGAAATAACTAGAATTTACTTATAATCCATGAATGGCATGGGAATGAGAGTAAAGCTACATTTGTTCCAAAATTATGTTAATGGCCTGAAGAAAAATAACTAAGACAGCTATAACGAGGAAACATTGAACAGAATTAAAGCACTGGAAGAGGCCATCTGACCCATTGCTTCTAAGTTCATTCTTTGAAATTGCTATTCAATTCATCCCAGGTATAGTCCAAGGGCTTTTTAAAAAATATAACTGCATGTAAACACTACCTTTTAAAATTAAACTAAAGTTATTGATTTTGATGAATGTTCTGCCTCACCATAATATCATCTCGATTTGCGTTTCTTCCTGGTTCTTTTGAAAGCCCGTTCATCCTGGGACTTGAAGCTTCATTGTCAGAGAGGATGATGATATCTGGTGATGGAGCACGCTTTCCCTTCTTCATTTCGCTGTAAGAGATTGGGCCAGAGGTTGAACAAGGCAGGAGAAGGGTTTGAAAATGGAATCGTCCAAGCAGTTAAGTCTCCAGCCAGGGAGTGCAATGTTTTGCCTCATGTCAAGTTAACCCAAGATCCTTTGTTTCCTTTACAAAACGTGTCCCCTCTCCAACACAAAATACAGCTGAGAAAAGGTGAACTTGACCAAAATGGTCTATGCTGATGTTTGTGCTCCTACATGCTATTCTGCTCAACTGCTCCCAGGTCAGCAAGCTCCATATCTTCACTATACTCTGGGTAACAAAGTTTCTCCCAAAATTTTTACATGCTTTACATAATCTTTATGGTTTGATTAGTACAGGGAACTGCTACCGTCACACCCATGCTCGCAAACACAACCAGAATTATTTGTTTTGAAGGTTATAATTTTTTTTGGGAAGGGAGGTGGTAGGAGTGGAAAAAGACAGTATGGCTGAGGGAAAAAAAGAGACACACATAGAGGGCGATGAGAAGTGATTCTTCACATAGACCCAACTAAAGTAATGGAGATCAAATGGGTGTTTGTTGATCCTTGCTTCATCTCACTTCTATTTTGAAAACAATACAAGCTCTGGTAAGCTGTATGTACTTACCCATCTCATTCCCAGAAACAACAGCTGCCCCAAGTGTATGTCTGACTATTCATACATACAGTCAGCTGAAATATCACTATGGTGGAGAGCTTAAGGAGGGATACATTACCTGCAGTCCCCGTGGAGATCAGTGCAGCTCTGACCTCATATTTATCATTGCCACACATTGCAAACTCAGCAGATCACAATTACAGTACTGACTTTTTTTTTGAAAAAGTTTTAAAAAACTGTCCTTGAAAGTTAAAAACAGGTCCTTGTGCATCTTTAGAGTCACAGGAATATTATCAATTACTGAGTGAAACAAAAAGTTTTATGCTAACAGCATGTTCACAGAGCCCTTGAATGCTGTGGCACATCACATTTTTTGTGCACACTTTGCACACACTGCTCAGGACAATCAATAGGCTCTGGCAGGGAAGGTGCCACTCATCAGCTAACAGAGAGCATCCTTGTATCTAAGTGACTGGGAGCAAACTTCCTGTATGCTAATTGCACCAGAAAAAGTTATCACATGACTTAGGCATTTCCCTTTCTCTGTCACATGACCACCCCCAGTGGAACCCATGGCAACAGCCGGCTGAAACTGGTCTGTGACACATTGCCTTCATTTTGTGAAGGGAGGTAGGATTCAGGTACTGAAACAAAATGGAGCCCATCGAACAGGCAGTAAAAGCTACCCCAGTAAGACAAAAAGCAGGATTCCACCACCTTCACTGTCACTCCCTTGCAGGCTTTAGTTTGAAAAGCTCGGTTTGAACTTAAGACTCTGCTTGGCGCGTACATAACAAACTTTCGAAAGCCAACGTTTTAAAAAAGGCCTTAATGTGCAAGATTCAAAAATGTCTTCGCAACTTGCGATTATTTTGCGCACATCTCTGGGTGACAGCATAATTTTCTGAAACTCTGATTCATCTCATCACTGTATCAGATTGAATGATTGATGCGTTTGTGACAGCTTGACCGTTCTGGCTGTAACAGGGGCTTTTCAGCAAGCAGTTAGGAAAATCACCACGGAGCAGGTTTTGGACATGGTCAGCTACCATGGCCTTTGCTACAGTGCTGTTTGAGCAAATTGCATTCCTGAACATGATGGGCTTGGATTAAAAACTAAGAACCCAAAGCATGTTTTCATAAGTTGAGGTTTAGGACAAAGCTCTCAAAGTTAATGATTCATCTTATCAAACAACGTAATTGAGAATATTACATGGAGTTCCTGTATATCATTGTAGAGTGTCCTTCATTACTCTATGCCCTTCGAGGTACTTTTTAAAAGGGTATGATTAATACTTTTGCCCGGATGGGTTTGAAACCATCAAGGGCAAAACAGGCTGTTTGATTGATACTTCATTCACCAGTCTAAAGGTTCACTGATTCAGCTGTGTCACCAAGGCTTCTTTGGCAATACTGTCTAAAACTCCACAACCTAGAAGAACAAAGGCAGCAACGACATAGGGACATCTTCATCCACCAGTTCCCATCTTCATCAGAGATAACATGGTGTAGAGCTGGATGAACACAGCAGGCCAAGCAGCATCAGAGGAGCAGGAAAGCTGATGTTTCGGGTCTTCAGAGAAGGGTCCAGGCCTGAAACGTCAGCTTTCCTGCTCCTATGATGCTGCTTGGCCTGCTGTGTTCATCCTGCTCTACACCTTGTTATCTCAGATTCTCCAGCATCGGCAGTTCCTACTAACTCTCTCCCCATCTTCATCATTGCTAGATTAAAACCCAGGAACCTCTACTTTAAAATACTTTAGGGGCACCTTTACCAACTAGACTGTGGTGGTTCAAAAATCTACAATGTTGTAATGAAAAACATGAATGGGCAATGAACACTATCTTGCCCAGCGGTACTTGTATCTTAATTTTTCTTTGAAAAGATTATTTTTGTGTAATACATATTTGGAACAGACATTCATCTCTAATGGAGATAGTTACCATCTTGGTAAGAACCAGCTTAAATACCTTCCCCATCAGACATCTGCACAACACAGAACAGCAAGAAAAATATTTTAATGTCACTTAGTGATAAGTAACAGTTTACTTTAATTGGTGCAAAACTCTCACAAAAGGTTACTTTACAGTCGAATTTACAATGCAGCCCAATTCCATGCTGAAGCCCATATTCTGCCAGGTCACTTCCCATTATGACACTGCAACTCTCCAATGGAGCACGAAGACTCTCCCACATTAGCAAATCCCCACTCCATTGTACTGTTTCAAATACATTTCAAAATCTGTAAACATGGGACAGCAAGAGGATACATGATCCAACTAGGAGATGAGGAAACCAGCTGGTCAATCCAGCTCTTCAACCTCGGATGTTGGATTAATTATGAAGTGGCCTACGTCTCAGCTCTTTAGAACTTTCAGCATGTCAATGATTGCAAAATGCATGGAAAAAATAGCCAATGCGAGATGGAGACACTTCTTTAGGTCATGTCTTATTTTTGAATGTTAAGGAAACATTGATGATGCTCTTCCTGATGTAGATTATAAACATCCTGTTTAATGGTTACAAATTGCTCCATTAACCTCATGTGAAATGTACGGTATGTGCACCAAGGCACATAGATCTTGGCACAAATGGTTACAGCTGCATACCAATATACAGTTTACATCATGGATAAGGACGAATATTTCGTCACAGTGTCTGAGCAATGAGACTCTTGCTATTAGAAGAAAAATTTTCACCACAGTTCTTTGTCTCTCATTGTCTCTTTTTCGGGTTGTCTATTTCTATCTTATATCTGTCTCCAAAAACACATTATCCAATGATTTGAGGAGGGGAAAACCTAGGTCTAACCTCATATAAAAGCATCATATAGTGAAATAACATCAATGTATCAGAATGGTTACATATTACTAAATACTTAGTATTTAAGCTTCTAATAAATTTAACCAAAGTTGATTGTTTTTGAGAAAGCACTGATATTTGAGAAGCAGCAAGTGTTTCACAATCCTGAAACTGAAGTTGGACTTTGGTCCTTCATTCTGCCATTCTATTAATTCATGGTTGAGGATCCATTCTTCATTTACCCATATGAGCTCACGTCTCTTCAGTCACTTAACAAAAATACATTGATCTCTGTCATAAAAAACTCAATTGCCCATGGCCTGTTGAGGGAGAAACTTCATTTTTGTGGAAAAATTCCTATATTACATGTCTAGAAAGCCTAGAACTATAGATGTCAGGATAAGGTCTCAGTGTTTTAGAACTGACCGAGATGAGGAGAAATTTCTTCACTTAGGGGGTTGTGAATCTTTGCAATTCTCCACCCCAGATTGGAGTCTTTGTCACTAAGTATATTCACAACACTTTTAGACACTGGACCTCAGAGGAGCAACTTTTTCACACAGAGGGTGGTTCGTATTGGGGTGAACTGCCAGAGGAAGTGGTAGATGCAGGTATAGTTACATTTAAAAGACATTTGGGTAGGTACATAAATTGAAAAGGTTTAGAGCGGTATGGGCCAAATGTTGGCAAATGGGATTAGTTTAGTTGGGAAACTTGGTTAGCATGGATAAGTTGGACCAAGAGGTCTGTTTCCATGCTGTATGACTATAAAATAGGATCTAGAGATGTGGGAATGGATCGGACAGTGGAGTGGGGTAAAGGATCAGTTTGGATTAAGCTAAACAGAACTGCATGGCCCATTCCTGCTCATGATTCTTGTACTTTTTCCAAACTGGACACATGTCTTTCAAATTGTGTCTTTCAATAGCATACAGATTAGGAAATATAATAAATGAGGATTGGGAGCAGTTTAGAATTCAGCAAAGAAGGGCCAAGGATTGATTAAGAAGGGGAAAATAGAATACAAAAGCAAGCTTGCAGGGAACATAAAGACTGATGCTAAGAGTTTCTATAGGTACGTGAAGAGAGAGATTGGTGAAGACAAACGTAGGTCCCCTACAAACAGAAACGGGGGAAATGTATAAGAGGACAAAGAAATGGCTGAGGAACTGAATACATACTTTGGTTCTGTCTTCACAAACGAGGACACAAATCAGATACCAGAATTGTTGGCGGATGCAAGATTTAGTTAGAGGGAAGAACTAAGGGAAATCAATATCAGTAAAGAAATGGTAAAGGTCAGTAATCTATATAATGAGACAACTATGAGAAGGGGAGCATTCATCACAGGACTGAGGGTATTATAATTAAATGCACACAGGATATGAAACAAGGTGATGAGCTTGTAATGCAGATTGAAATTGGCACATACAATGTTGTGGGTATCACAGAGATGTGGCTACAAG